GGGGGAAAGGATCTGAGATATGAAGAACCCTAACAAAAAAGGAAGAAGGATGCTTTATGTCCTTTGAAGGTCTAGGTATTAAAAAAACTCAGAACCAGCCTCTCTTCTCGATCTTTTCACTGCTGGCCGCAAATCTGGAAGAGGGCTATGCTATATACTATGCTGCCTCGGTTATATCCTTCATCACTACCACAAAAGTCTGCTGAGATAGATACATGAGTCCAAACCCGTGACGGTATCTCTGGACACTGACCTGGGAAGAACACTGAACTAGAGACCTGGGGAAGCACATGCTTTGAATGTCCTCGCGGTGAGCCCAAACCTGACCCAAACCAGGTGAGTTGCCAGCCAACAGCCTGCGGACGTGGGTACAGGTTGGTTACTCTGGCCCCTCCGCCAACAAACCCCAAATCTGCTTTTTTTGTAAAAGGCGAATGTACTCACTGGGTCAAACATCTCTTCGTCACGAATGAAATATAATGAATCGCAAAACATCAGGCCAAGTGAGATGTTTCAGCGCCGGAGGGCGCCCGAGACCACTAAATCCAACCCAGGCTCAGGGTGGGCTGCGTGGAGTCGCCACCAGGCGGCGCGATTGCTAGGAGAGGGCTGGAGCGCGACAGCCGCTTTCCCACGTCCCTGCGGTGCGACGGGGGAGATGCACCCAGTCTTTCTGGGCTAGCTAGGATGCGGGTGCTCTGTATTCCCAACGGGCTCAGAAAGTTAAAATTCAAGGTAACAAAAGTTTTAGTCTACAAATGAGTGTGTGGCCAGCAAAAAAATTTTTTTAATTAAAAAAGAAAGTAGGAAATTTGAATCACTGGGGCGCCTATCCTTAAGCCTCCCTGCGGTGGGAGTTAATGTAAGCATCCCGCTGGGCATCCTGATCCAGAGTTTCAAAGGCCAACAAGGGAGGCCAAGGGTTCCACTCCTGGGAGGGCGATGTGAAGAGCTCCAACCACTCCCAGCAAAACTGGTGGAATTATTTTTTACTATATGTATTTATCTATTTATAATTATACATTTTTATAATCATATAGAAATATATTTTATAACACTTAAATATATTTTATAATATGTAAATATATTTTTATATATTAATTTAAAGATGTACATAGTATATAATTTTTTAAAATATAGTCTTTATATATAAATATTTAAAGTCCTATATGCCTAGTGACTATGCGAGTAAATATAAAAATGTTTTTTAATTATTTAAATCTCTTTAAAAGATAAACTGTTTAAAGAGAAATAATATTTATAGGTTAAATTGTAAAATTTGTCACAAATGTAAAATACAATGTATGTATGACAACAATATCACAAAGACTAAGAGAGGGAAATGAAAGTATACTATTGTAAAGTTCCTCTACTGTATGTGAAGTGAAATAATATAGCTTGAAAGTAAATTGGGTTAAGTTAAAGATGAATACTATAAGCCCTAAAGCAACCACTGAAATAACACAACAAACAGTTATAGCTAATAAGCCAGCAGAGGAGATAAAATGAAAGTGTGCACGTGCACGCACACGCACGCACACGCACGCGCGCGCACACACACACACACACACACACACACACCCTGATTAATCCAAAAAAAGAGCAAAAAAGAGACAANCACACGCACGCACACGCACGCACACACACACCCTGATTAATCCAAAAAAAGAGCAAAAAAAGAGACAAAGAACATTTGGGAGAAACAGGCAATAAATAGTATGAAGGCATATTTGAACACAATCACATCAACACTATTTAAAAGTAGAGANCAAAAAAGAGACAAAGAACATTTGGGAGAAACAGGCAATAAATAGCATGAAGGCATATTTGAACACAATCACATCAACACTATTTAAAAGTAGAGATCATCTGATTAAATAAAAATGTAAGACCTGACTATGGCTATAATGTACTTTATTGTTTTTTGGGGGTTTTAAAATTTTTTATTTATTGATTTTAGAGAGAGAAAGGAAAGAGAGAGAAACATCGATTTGTTGTTCCATTTATTTATGCATTCATTGGTTGATTCTTGTATGTGCCCTGAGGATCAAACCCGAAACCTTGGGATATTGGGACAACACTCTAACCAACTGAGCTACCCAGCCAGGGATAAATATACTTTAACTANGGATCAAACCCAAAACCTTGGGATATTGGGACAACACTCTAACCAACTGAGCTACCCAGCCAGGGATAAATATACTTTAACTATAAAAAATTTCACAGCCACTATGGAAAGCAATATAGAGATTCCTCAAAAAATTAAAAACAGAGCTGCAATACAACCCAGAAATTCCACTTCTAGGTATTTATGCAAAGAAAACAAAAACACTAATTCAAAAAATATATACACCTCTACATTCATTGAAGCATTACTCAAAATAGCCAAAATATGGAAGCAACCTAGGTGTCCATCAATAGACTGTTAGATAAAGAAGATGTGGTACATATATACAATGGAATGTTAGCCATAAAAAAGAATGAAATATTGCCCTTTGTGACAACATGGATGGCCCTAGATGGTATTATAAGTGAAATAAGTCAGACAGAGAAAGACAAATTACCATATGATTTCACGTATATGTGCAGTCTTAAAAAAAGCAAATTAATAAAAACACACACATAGATACAGAGAACAAACTGATGGTTGCCAAAGGGGAGGGGTGTGGGAAGATGGGTGAAATTAAAGAGAGGAGGAAGGAAGGGGGGAGGGAGGGAGGAAATGAAAGGAAGAAAAATAGATTTCAGAGCAAAGAACATTGAGAGGTACAAAAGGGGTCATTTCATAACAAAGGAATTGCTTCATCTAAAAGACAATTTGTTGGGCATGTAAAACAATTAAAGATAATAAAGTAAACAATTGAGAGAAATTTTCAGCACTTATAGAGTGAATTTGAATTTTTAAAAGTTGCTCTCAGCTGTAAAAAAAAAATTATAAAATTAGTTGCCTGAAATCAGAAATAAATGTCAAAAAATTATAGTGAATTTGAGTTTGTACTTTGGCAAGCTCTAAAACAGCTTGGATTCTTGCATCAAAAAGAAAAACAATTTAGATGGAAAGATGACAAAAGGAATTATTTCAGTAATGGAAATTTGTTAGACAATTACGAGAAAGTATTACAAAAAGATATTTTTCAAAAAGTGAAAATTTTTAATTAAATCTCAAAACAATGGCCCACAGAATGCAAGGCCCTTCCAACAATATAAAAAATGAATAGATTCAAAATTCAAAATTTTGCAAGTAACTTTCTTTAGCTTTACTTGAGTCATGTGATAAGAGACACTGCCGAATTGATATTTTGAATACATTTTGTCTCAAAGAAAGCCCAAACCTATGAACAAATGTTGCCGATTCATACCTAAAAGATCAAACTTGTGGAATACATACTTTTAAACTTTTACACTTCTCAAAGGAGATTTTCAGATAAATATGAGAAAAATAGTTATCATGATGGAGAGTGCTCCAGCTATGTTAGGTCAAAACTCCAGATTTAATTTTGTATATATATAATCATATATATGTATTGTATATATATGTATATATGTATTGTATATATATACATATACATACATACATACATATATACATATACATACATACATACATATATACATATACATATATATATATATAAAATCAGAATGGTGGTTACCAGGGGAGATACTGATCAAATTTTCAACTATAAAATGAATAAGTTCTAGAGACCTGATGTACAGCATGGTCTCTAGACCATGTATTATATACTCAAAATTTGCTAACAGTAGATCTCAAGTGTTCTCACCAAACACGCACAAACACACACACTGGTAACTGAAGTCACCAATACATTAATTAGCTTGGTTATGGTAATTATTTCACAATATATAGAGATATATCAAAACATCACGTTGTACACCTTAAATATATACAATTTTTATTGGTCAATCATATCTCAATAAAGCTGGAAAAAATAAAATAACACGTGATTCACATCTATTTCTTCTGGACAGCACTGAACTAAACTAGAATTCTTCTGCTCAAGCAGCTGAGACCATAGACTTCTGACTGGCTACAGGACAAGCCCTCTGCCCTGTGGTCATTGACTCAGACTAATTGGTTATCGTGAGAATCAAATGGGTCAGTATATACAAAGTGCATAGAAGACGATCTGGCATCTAGCAGGAGCTATGTAAATATTATCTATTACGGTAATTAGCATTATTGGCCAAGATTTCTAAAAATACAGTTTAGCAGAGAAACACACCAAGGAGAATAACCGCTTGGCCTAGATTGAAACTTCAACACATCACCGATTAAAAAAACTGCAAAAAGCTGAGGACCCTGTGTGACCAGTGGGTCCAACGGGGCCCTGACTAGGGTGAGGCGAGCGGGGCATTTTCCTTGGGGCAAAATTTAAGGAGGCACCAAAAAACTCAGGAATCAAGACAGACAATATTCTAATGTAATATTTTAATCAACCCAAATTCATGCCAAAAACCCACAATGAACAAAATGTCACAATGCGAAATGAAGACGGGAGCAGTATTACTGTCGTCTCCTCTCGCCCGAGTCCCACAGCGGCTCGGACGGACGGTCACCGAGCCCGCCCGGCTGGCCTCACCTAGCCCCAGCCGGGACCAACGCTTAGCCTAGGGTACAGCCACCGCGGCCCACAGAGGGAGGGTGTTGGGCTGGACTGGCCGTGAAGACGCGCTTTCCGTTTTCTTGCTAAACAGGGCACCCTCCAAGGCACCAGATACTTGCTGTTTGCAGGGCGCTGGGCCACGCGGGGCCCTCAACGTGCAGGAATTCCCAGGCTGCCCCGCGGCCCACCGTTCCCAGGCTGCCCCGCGGCCCCGTCGTTCCCAGGCTGCCCCGCNGGCCCGCCGTTCCCAGGCTGCCCCGCGGCCCCGTCGTTCCCAGGCTGCCCTGCGGCAGCGGAGCTGAAGTGAGGCCGGAGTCGAAGCCGTTGCGGCCTCCACGACAGCCAGCCCAGCTCGTCTGGCGCAGAAGCACAGCCATGGACGTTCCGTGGCAAGGCATCACCACTGACTGGACCTCTATGAACTCCAGTCGCGGCCATTATGCGGACATCCTGGTGATGGTCTCCTACCTCCTGTTGGTCCTGGGCGTTGGGCTGTGGGTACGTGAGGGCCCAGAGGGCAGGGCAGGGCCCTGGACACCAGGCTGGCGCTGAGCCTCCCCCGCCCCCCCGCCACCAGTCACCTGGTCCCCACCACCCCTCTTCTCTGCAAGTAAATACATGGGTCAAACGCCTCTGGGCCCGCTGCCTGGAGCCTGAGCGGTATTTAATGAAAAGTCGTTAGGATCATCATGATGGTGACAATAATAACAGCTACTGGTGATTAGGTCTTAAGTGTCGCATCCTCACAACTGTAATGTGAACATTATTTCCTCCAGTTTCACAGGCAAGGAAACTGAGGTTCGAAGAGGTTAAGGAACAACCAGGAACTGATGGAGTTCAGTTTGGAACCTAGAGCTGCCTGATCTGACCCAGGAGTGTAACCATTTTTGCCTTTCTAGCGAGACCTCAAAGCTCACACACACATGCAACTTAGGGATCATACGTGTTCTCTTTAAATTTGGATGAAGAGCTTATATTTTCTCTTACAGTACAAGGTTCTCTTAATAAGGTAGAAACGGTGTCTCTTCTAATGCCATTCACTCACTAAAGATTAGCATGTAAGCACTCAAAAAGGTGTCCTTAACCATACTCCCCAGGGCCAGACCCTGCCCAGGAGGAGTTGGCCGTTGTTCCAGTGAGAGGCCAGATTGGTATGAAAGCGTCAGCTCATGTCATGATATTGTCCCTCGGCTAAGCTGTTAACCATCAGGCCTCTGCCAGGCCTACTTCTGCCAAGCAGAAGTATTTGGTAACAATGCCACCATTCACTAACTAGTGGGAGAGTTGTCACTCTGGATCGTCCCCACCCAGGTGAAGTTTTCATGCACATGTGACCTTTAATTTGGAGCACTTATACGGGTCACAAGCAGGACCTTGCTGTGCAGAATCAGGCACTGTGGTACCATCATTGGATGCTCTTTTGAAGGCTTACAGTGAGTCGTTAGGCTGCTAGTGGGCAGATAGAGAAATGAAGACATAGTTTCCATCCTATTAAGAGAATTTTGTACCAGAAAATAAAATATAGGCCCTTTATTACAAATGTAGAAAAGAGATCTGAGGTGTTTCTACAGATCATTTAAACAAGCAGTGTTTTAAAAAACTGGCTTCAGCCCGGCAGGCATAGCTCAGCGGTTGAGCGTCAACTTAGGATCCAGGGGATCGCGGTTCAATTCCCGGTCAGGGCACATGCCCAGGTTGCGGGCTCAATCCCCAGTCGGGGGCGTGCAGGAGGCAGCCGATCAATGACTCTCATCATTGATGTTTCTATCTCTCTCTCTCCCTCTCCTTTCCTCTCTCTGAAATCAATAAAGATATATTTTGAAAAATAAAAATAAAAAAATAAAATTAAAAACTGGCTTCAATTATGAGAAACATCCTCCTAGGTTTCCTAGGCAGAGACGCTGAGTATTACTTGTTTTGGGATCTTTTCCCCAGTTTCTGTTACTGAATTAAGCCCACCCAGCTTTCTTCCTGGCCCAGTTTGGGCCTAGGTCTGGCCAAGGTCAGAGTACTAGTAAAGCCATCTGGTCACTTCCAAAGGAAACCTGATGTTCCTTCTGTTCTTATTGGAGCCATAAAATATGCACGGTTATCCGGAATGCTTTGATCTTTTTCCTTCCTTATATTATCTTTCTTTTTTTTTTCTAATATATCTTTATTGATTTCAGAGAGAGGAAGGGAGAGGGAGAGAGAGAGAAAGAAACATCAATGATGAGAGAGTCATTGATCGGCTGCAGCCCGCAACACGGGCATGTGCCCTGACCGGGAATCGAACCCTGATCGCCTGGATCCTAGGTCGACGCTTAACCGCTGAGCCACACCCGGCCAGGCATATTATCTTTCTTTTGTTTTTTATAAATCATATATTGTTTTTAACTATGAAAGTATAACATGCTTATTGTAAGAAGTGAAAAGATGTATAAATATCTAAAGAGTAAGTTACTATCCCTCCCCATCCATTTTCATCTCTCTGAGGTAACCATGGGCCGTGTATCCTTCCTCCCCTTTCTCAGTGTTTATGCAAGCATATGAACATGTGTAGAGTTTTGTGTTTTGTCTTTACCAAAAAATGTGATCATATTATATATTATTCTGCAGCTTGCTTTTTTTCACTTGCTATATGGTAGAGAGAGTCCTACAGGTCAACAGTAGAGCTTTAGCTCATGTTTTTATTAGCTGCACAATAGTCATACAAATGTGTAGACTGTTCAGCTTTTCTCTGCTAATTGACACTTAGATTTTTGCCAGGTAGGTTTTTTGTTTTCTTTTTTTAATGCATTGGTGCTTTTAATCTGTGTAGCATGGATTCCAAAGTCGGAATTGCTGGGTCAGAATAGTATGTTTACTTGAAATTTTAGTAGATATTATTAAGTCGCAATCCACAAAACTGGTTAAGATTTACATTTTACAGGCAGCATATGGGCATGCCCTTTCCCCCAAACCCTCACCAGTCTTGCTCATTCCTGCTGCTGCTTTTTTTCTTTTCCTGCCAGTCTGATGGGTGAATCATGGTACCTCATTGTAATTTTGATTTGCGCTTCCCAGATGCCTAATGAGGTTGAGCATCTTTCCCATTGGTTTTTCCCCTTCTGTGAATAGCCAGTTTATTTGCCCATTTTTGAATTGGGCTGTTTAACTGATTTTATAAGCTTGTCTGTCATTTCGATTGATAATGGTTTTTTCCAAACTATTGTTTGTCTAGACCAGTTTCTCAGTCTCAGCACTGCTGACATTTGAGATCAGATAATTCTTTGTTATGGAGGTTTGTCCTGTATGTTATACGATGCCTAGAAGTGTCGCTGACCCCTACCCGTTCACAACCAAAAAGATCTCTAGACATTGCCACATGTCCCCTGGAGGGATGGGACAAAAATTACCCTGTTTGAGAACCACTGGTCCAGACTCTATTAATGGTATCCTTTTGTCATTTGAATTTTCTTCACTTAAAACTTAACTGTCTCCCTTTTCCTTTATATCTAGATGTCCTGGTTGGCTTAGGAAATTTTTCCCCCACTCCAAGTGTGTACAAATATTATTCTAAATTTTCTTTTTATACTTTATAGTTTTTAAATATGGATTTACTTTTATATTTGAAGTGGTAGAGGAGTCTAGCTTTATTTACTTCCAGTTATTAAACCAACCACCCTTTTCTCGGTGAACAGAATTGCCCACATGGGCACATATTGGACTCTTTCTGAAAGCATTCATCAGCTTCTGTCAGCTGAGTACCCGCAGGGAACTGGGAAATCAGTCTTTGTTGCTGATGCCTTGGCTGCTGGTACCTTGGCTCTTACACAGTGTTAAAGGGGAAAAAAACTTGTTTTTTCTTTTTTTTGGTTTTCAGTTACAGTTGACATTCAGTATTATTTTGTTAGTTTTGGGTGTACATCATAGTGGTTAGACATTTATATAATTTATGAAGTGATTCCTTTGATAAGTCTAATACCTGCCTGGCACCATACATAGTTATTATAATTTGTACTACCAATTTGTACTTCTTAATCCCTTCACCTTGTTCACCCACCCCTCCAACCCCCTCCCACCTGGCAACCATCAGTTTTTTCTTTTTGTGTTTTGTTTATTTTATTCTTTAAATTCCACACATAAATCCTATGGTGTTTGTCTTTCTCTGTCTGATTTATATCACTTAACATAATACTCTCTAGGTCCATCCTTGTTGTAGCAAATGGTAAGATTTCACTCTTTTTTGTGGTTGAGTAACATTCCATTGTATATATGTACCACAGCTTTTGTATCTAATGGTCTATCAATGGACACTTAGATCACTTTCATATCTTGGCTACTGTAATTAATTCTACAAGGAACATAGGGATGCATAGATCTTTTTGAAGTAGTGTTTTGGATTTCTTCAGATAAATACCAAGAAGTAGAATTGCTGGGTCATAAGGTAGTTCTATTTTTAGTTTTTTGTGGTAACTCTATACTGTTTTCCATAGTGGCTGCGCCAGTTTGCAGTCCCACCAGTATGGCATGAGGGCTCCCTTTTCTCCACATCCTCCGCAACACTGGTTGTTTGTTGACTTGTATGGTAGCTATTCTGACAGGTGTGAGCGAGATCTCCTGGTGATTTTAGTATACATCTCTAATGATTAGTGATGTTAAGCATCTTTTCACATGTTGATTGCCCCTGTTTGTCCTCCTTGGAGAAATGTCTATTCAGGTCCTCTGCCCATTTTTTGATTGGATTGTTTGGTTTTTTGGGATTAAGTTGTATGAGTTCTTTATAAATTTTGAATATTAACCCCTTATCAGATGTATCATTGGCAAATATCTTCTCCCAATGATTGGGTTGTCTTTTCATTTTCTTGATGGTTTCTGCTGTGCAAAAACTTTGTAGTTTAATGTAGTCCCATTTGTTTATTCTTTCTTTTGTTTTCCTTTCCCAAGGAGATAGATAAGAAATAATAACAACATTAGAGGGTTTACTGCCTATGTTTTCTTCTAGGAGTTTTATGGTTTCAGGTCTTACATTTAGGTCTTTAATTCATTTTGAGTTTATGCTTGTATATGATGTAAGATGGTGGTCTAGTTTTATTTTTTTCCATGTACCTGTCCACATTTTCCAAAACCATTTATTGAATAGGCTGTGTATACCCCATTGTATATACTTGCCTCCTTTGTCATACATTAATTGACCATATAGGTATGGGTTTACTTCTGGGCTCTCTGTTCTGTTCCATTGATCTATGTGTTTGTTTTTATGCCAGAACCATGCCTTGCAGTATAGTTTTATATCAGGTAGTATGATACCTCTAACTTTGTTCTTCTTTCTCAAGATTGCTGTGGCTATTGGGGGTCTTTTGTGGTTCCATATAAATTTTAGAATTATTTATTCTAGTTCTGTGAAAAATGTCATTGGTATTTTGAAAGGGATTACATTACATCTATAGATTGCTTTCGGTGGTATGGACATTTTAAGGATGTTAATTCTTCCTATCCATGAGGTATACGCTTCCATTTATCATATCTCCTTCCAATTACTTCTTTAATGTATAATTTCCTGAGTGGAAGTCTTTAACCTCCTATGTCTTTAACCTTTGGCATTTCAATTTTACCTTGTTTGAGACTCTGTGCTTCCTGGACTTGTATGTCTATTTCCTGCACCAGGTTAGGGAAGTTTTCTGTCATCATTTCTTCAAATAGGTTCTCAATCCCTCCTTCTGGTAGTTCTATGACACAAATGTTGTCATGCTTGATGTTGTCCCAGAGATCCCTTAAACTATCCTATTTTTTTTTTTTTTTTTTGCTGTTCCAATGGGTGTTTTTCTTCTACCTTGTATTCCAAATCACTGATTTAATTCATTGCTTCATCTAATCTGCCGTTTATTCATTCTAGTGTATTCTTCATTTCAGTTATTAGTTTCTTTTTTTATGACTGGTTCCTTATTATTTCTGTGTCCTTTTCATACTCACTATCTCTTTATTGAAGTTCTCACTAAGTTTCTTGAGCATCCTTATAACCAGTGTTTTGCCTCCATTTCATTTAGTTCTGTTTCTGGTGTTTTCTCTTGTTCTTTCATTTAAGACATGTTTCTTTATCTCCTCATTTTGGCTACCTGTCTGTGTTTGCCTCTATGTACTAGGTAGATCTTCTCTGTCTCCCAGTCTTGACAGGGTGACCTTATGTAATAGGTGTCCTATGAGGCCCACTAGTGCAGTCTCCCTGATCACCTGAGTCAGGTGCTCCAGCAGTGTTCATTGTGTGGGTTGTGTGTGCCCGCCAGTTGTAGTTGAGCCTTGATTCTGTTGGCACATCGGTGGGTGGGGTTGACCCTCAGGCTGACTGGCTGTGATTATTGGCCACAACCACAGTGTACGAGCTGCTATTTGGGGGCTGACTGACCCCACAGAGCAGAATTCACCGCAGTGGGCTCTGGTGCCTGCTAAGACCATCCTCTGGGTGTGCCACTTACAGAGCTTATTGCGTGATGCTTTGTTGCGGTCTGAAGCTAGGCACCAGGTGTGTTGGTTCTGGGGCCTCTTGGGAGGGGCTCAGGTACAGACGAAGGTTAGCTGTTGCCTGTGACCAGCTTGGTACTACCTGGTAGGAACTACAAAGCAATCTGTGGTCGGTAGCTGCCTTTGATGGACCTGGAAGAACATGGGGAGACATAGGCTGAACATACGCTGGCTGCCACCAGTGCTGGGTCTGGGCCTGCTCAGCAAAGACACAGAATATCCTGAGGCCTGCTACCACCACCTACCAGCTGCCCATAAAGCTCAGCCACTGATACAGCCTTAGACAGTACCTGAGTTGGGTGAGGCAGGTTCTCAGGGAGTCACTAGGGTAGGGCAAGTGCTTCTCATCAGGTTAATACAAATTCAGATTTGGCCGTGTGGGTTGAGGGCTCACCACAGGGACAATGGCAGCTGTCCCTCCAGCCCTCACTCTGAAGCCGCACAACTCAGTTTCTCCCTGTTTGTCTCTGGCAGCCCCCAAGCCACTGTCCCTTTGCCAGTGCCCAGGATGAGTACCTGCAAGTAAGCAAGTCTGTGTCGGAGCCCTCTACAGGGACACCTGGGTTTCCAGCAGCCTTTCATCTCACCTGGATGGACAGAATCCTCACCGATTTTCACAGCCAGATGTTTTGGGGGCTCTTCCTCCTGGCACTGGTGCTCTAGGCTGGGGAGGCCCCATATGGGGCTGGGACCCCTCGCTCCTCAGGGGTTACCTCTGCAGCCGAGGTATCCCTCTCAGTTCTCATCTGCAACATGTGCATGTGGGGTCAGCCCGTTTCACATCTCCCCCCTCTTACCAACTCTCGACGTGGCTTCTTCTTGATGTCCTTAGTTATAGAACTTCTGTTCAGCTAGGCTTTAGGTGGTTTTAGGTGGTTCTCCAGGTTGATTGTTCTATAAATTAGTTGTAATTTTGATGTCCCCATGGGAGGAAGTGAGCACAGCACTTAACCTTTTCTGCCATCTTGACCAGAACTCTAAAGGGGAAAAACTTAGACTTTTTATTGTTTGCTTTCTTTTTTATCATTCTCTGCCAAGAGATTTGAGAAGGTGTTAGATGCATGTCCCACCCCCCAACCTGGCTGCCGTGGCTGTATTATTCCAGAAAGAGAGCAGGGAAGTGAAGAGGCAGAGACATGCACTTAAGCCACCTTCTTCCCAGTATCTCCTCTTCTTCCTGTCTGGTTCTTTCTTTAATGGAAAGAGAGGATGATTTTATTTATCTTGGAACATTTTGTAAATTTCTTTTTAAAAATAGTAAAGTAAAATAAAATAAAAATTTTAATGCACCTGCACCTACATACCACTGATACTTTACTTAGGAAAGATCAGCTCTACATATAGTAGGCCCTTGATAAATATTTAGTGAGTGGCAGAAATGAGACTAAGTTAATGTGTCTGATATAGAGTGTTTCTGTGGCTTAAGGCATTAGGATGTGAGGGGACCCCCATTGTAATACAGATGCCTCAGATGGTAGTAATAAGTTCACTCTTCCCACAGAAATACATTTCTGTCAACCAGCTGTCATCCTAAGGTTGTGCTAGTCCTAGGCAGTCCAGGAAATCCCCACCCAGTAGTGTCTTTTGACTGCACCAGGGTCTGAGAATCAGAGCTGGGAACCCTGAATAGAGAGGACACCATAGTAATGGTGGCGTGACTGCTCCCCTGGAAGAACTCAGGCTCATGTTCAGATTTGCCATTCCTGATTGCTCCATACATTCACTACACCACTTATCTCCAAGACTCTGCTGAAAACGGTGGCACTAGTTAATTATTTGGAAAAAAATTAAGCAATATTATTTTCACAAGACTGTGGAGAAATGAACATTCCCATGCAGAGTCAGAGCTGGAAGAGACCATAGTCTCCAGCTAGGTGGCCATGAGCCCTCCCCTAACTCAGGGGGTATGGGCTTCTATTCCTAAAAAGAAAGAAGGGGAGAATGGATTTGGGATCTTGCTAAAGAGATTTACCCTGTAAGACACTTGTGTCTGTGAAGCAGTTTTGTTTCTTGTATTCCATTGCTCTTTTTGTTTGTTTGTTTGTTTGTTTGTTTGTTTGGTTTTGTGAAGGCTCTACTATCAAACAGCCGTGGGACTGTAGAAGAATTCTTCCTGGCTGGCCGAAATCTAGCATGGTGGCTGGTGAGTGTGGCAGTCCACTTTGTGGGCTACATATTAACTTGTTTATTACTTTAATTTCGATGTCTTATACTCAAAATAAATGGAAGTCTTTAAATCAGGAAAGCCATTTCATTGGTGGTTCCTTTAACTCTTACGTAGTTTGTTACCCAGATGCTCCCATTTAACTCAGCTTTAGTTCAATAACCATTTATTAGGTTACTGAAGCATGTGTGGGACTCTCTGCACTTACTCGTGTGTCTGTTTTCTTTGCCAGGTTAGGGAAGCTTTCCTGTCCCAGTACAACCAAAATGTACAAGGAAATAGTCCTGCCCTCTGGAAACACACAATCTAGAATGGGAATTAGACGTGTAGGCAATGAATTACAGTGCATTGCAGTACAGTAGGACTAATAGGAGGCCCCATGGGCCAGCTGAGGGTGAAAGGTAAACTCAGGCTTCCTGGGCAGAGGTAGTGCATGGTGTCTGACTGGAAAGGTCTTATAGAGGTGGTGGTGTTTAAGCAGGATTTGGAGGTGGAGTAGGTAATTCAGAGTTATACCTCTGAATTGCTTCTGAATCTTCTTTTTTGTAAACTTGATTTAGAAAGAAATTGACTATGGCAAAAAAAATTTTGCAGTGGACCTCATATTTTAGTTTATTTTTCAGCAGAGGATTCTAACAACCCAGTCTCTTCCTGGGCTGTGAGGCCCCCAGTCTTTTTCCTGAGCCACTCTTAGGCCTTGAAGTCCTATGTTCTGTATCCAGAAAAACGGCCATCTGGTGCCCATGTTACCTCGTGTAATTGTGACATTTGTAATAGTTTTCAGACATTAACACGCTTTGGCCTCCCAATATTTATACTGTATATTATGATTTATTAACTTATTGTGACTTCTTTTATCATTATTAGGATTATTGCTTGATGAATGAAATATATTATGATATTATTAAAGGAAATTGAAATAAAAGAATAATCTTGCCACTCCAAATTTCTTTTTTCTTTTATATTTTTATTCAATCAGCAGATATTTGATGGATATCAATTGTTCTTGTCAGGGCCCTCCTCCACAGGACTTCTTTTATTTTCCTTTCCTCCCTCCCTCCCTTCCTTTTTAAATTGTACGTGGCTTATTCTTGTAGTCAGTTCTCAGTCTTCATATTACCTGGCCTAGCAGTGGTAAAACTCTGGAACTCTCAGTCCTCCCTCCCCCCTCCGGCCCTCCCCCTTCCCTGCTGCTTCACCAGCCTCTCATTCTCAGTTTCCCTGGCTGGTTCTCTCCCATCCCCTTAGCTTCTAAATGCTGGAGATTCCTGGGGCCAGCACCTCACTTCTTCTCTCCTGTTACACTCACACACCTCCTCTAGTCTCATGGCATTAAATACCAATTACATGCTAACACATCCTAGATCTCTCCCTTGAACTCCAGACTTGTGTGCAGTGCCTATGTGACACCTGCACTTGAGAGATCTGTCAGGTATCTCAAACTGAACAAGTCCAAAAGGAACTCTGGACTTCCTCTACACATCTGCTTCTCCCACCATGTTTCCTGTCTCCTTAATAGCAACTCCATTCTATTAGGGCGCAAGTTGACAAACATGGAGTCATATTAGACTCTATTCTCTCTCATACCCAATATCCAATCCATCAGGAAAAAAAAAAGTATTTGAAATCTGACCACTTCTCATCAGCTGTGCCTCCAGGTCCATGCTGCCATTGTCTCTTCCTTGGATTAATTATAACAGCCTCTTTTCTGGGCTCCCTCCTTTTACCTTTGCTCTTCTATAGCTAGTCTTAACAAAGCAGGGAGCTAGTTAAAACTTTGGTCAGACCATGTCACTATTATGCTTAAAACCCTCTGGGGGTTCCCTTGTCACACAGAATGTAAGCCCAGCTGCTTTTAATGGCCTGTGTTAGGCCACAGATCATCTGCACCTCCTTACTTCTCTTACCTTGCCTCTCAGGACCCCTGTCTCCAACTCTAGCCAGTGTCCTTGAACAGTCAGCTGTGCTCCTGCCTCAGGGCCTTTGTCCCTGCTGCTGCTTCCACCTGGAGGCTTCTCCCAGATATCTCATGGCTTGCTTCCTCACCTTTCCTTGTATTCCTCAGATCTCCTCTCAGACAGTCTACCCCAACCGCTTAATTGCTTTTCATTATGCTAGAAAATAACCCCCTAATTTATTTTATTTATACTCTTCTTCCCAAAGCAATGTTATCTTCATGAGAGCAAGGATTTTTTTTCTATTTTATTCACTAACATATACGTAGACCAGCATGGCAATGGATATTTATAATAGTTATTGAATTAATGAGTGGTAACTTTTCAACCTACCTTTAATATATTAATAATGTATTACTATCTTCCTAGGTCTATATAGACATAGGTAGGTAGGTATAGATATTTTATACTATTTATATGCAATTGCATATTGTATGAACATCCTGCCTTTTATTTTCCATATTATGGGGCAATATAGTCTGTGGAACATGTAGAGAGTGGCAACATAAGAATGGCTGATCTTCCTTTTTCACTTTCTCCCTCTTCACTTGGCTTCTAATTTATGGTTAGGATTTGTATAGAAGAAACACAAATGGGAATTAGGCCCAGGAAATTATCCCTTTTGAAAAAATGTAAAATTCAGTTTGAGTTTACATTTGTGAAATTAATTCTTGGACTTAGACTGAAAGTTTTTATATGGAATTGTCTTTTGATGATCAGATAGGTGCTTCTCTTTTTGCCTCGGATGTTGGCCCTACCCACTTTGTGGGCCTGGCTGGGACAGGAGCTGCTTCAGGGATTGCTGTTGTGGCCTTCGAGTGGAATGTAAGTAGTATGTTTTGTAGCAACTAATCTCCATCTTTATCATTGTGCCGATAAAACTCATAAGCATAAAGCCTTGCTTCTAACCTTTAGTAAATATTAAATACTTCTTGAGAAGTTATGGAAGAAAGGAGGAACTAAGTCTTTAGTTTCTCTAAAACTGTACTAGTTTCTTTTCTTCTTGGTAAATTAATGAAGAGACAAAGAGTATTTATATTCCAGAGACTGTAGGAATACAGTAAACAAAGAACTGTTTTAGAGGACTAGTCATATAGAGAAAAGATCATATTAACATTTAAATATATACATGTATGTGTATATATATCTATATGCATATATGTGTGTATATGCATGTGTACATATATCTGTATGTATACATTTGCAGTATGTATTGAGACTGGGCTCAACTGAGCTCACTGAGATGTTCAACTAGTTACTACAGAACTAATTGATCTGCTAGGAATATCGGGTTTTAACTATAAAACTTATTAAATGAATTATTTATTTAATCTATGGTATGTATTTGTTGTAGGACATAGACTTGTTCACCTAAACTATAAGTAAATTTATAAGTCTTATGTTAATTAACTATATATAAATCATCTTTTTTTTTTTTTAATAAATCAGAAAGCTCCCTACTTTTGGAGTTACATCTTGCTTCTTATAGACAACAAAAGACTACTTCTAGCAGAGTCCACTCCAATCCTAACAAGAAACCCTGAATTTGACAAGCATTTCCTCTCGAAATTTACTAGCATCTCCTTCATATATTCAGTTCAACTTACCCTTTCTTTGTATAGAAAGCCAGACCCAATCTTTAACTTAATTTCCATAACTTATATGAAATTTTGGTAGTTTCTCTCCCATTTTTCTGAATGGTTTCTGATTTTTCTTTCTTTTTTAACTGTCTTTTATATTTAATTATAAGTCACCTTCATTCCTATCAGGAAGTAGGCAAACAATGCATAATAAATACCTTGAAAATTGGCTCAGTGAGCTCCCCACAATTAAGAATGAACCCTTTTATAGGCAGAGATCAAGTGGCTATAAGTTAAGTTCATTGGACTGGGAAGTTTACACTTGGGCTGTTGTAAGGTCCCCAGTAGTAATACCTTAGTAAGGCTCAAAACAGATAGTAAGTGAGCTTGCATCTCATTTAAGAGTTTGGCCTATGTGGGACCCTGATGTTTGTTTTTTTTTTTCGGTTTCAGAGTCCATTTATGCTCTGTCTTCTTGGTTGGATATTTTCTCCTATTTACATTAAGGCTGGGGTGAGTGTCCATTGTCAGTTATTCTATTTTCTATAATATTCTTTCTTACAAATATTGCATTTGTACATGAAAACATCCTAACGATAAATTCAACTTCTCAGCCTTTTGATCCCTGCACTGACTTTCCTAAATCCTGAGAAATGCCTACAATAACATCCTTCTGCCCTGCATAAACCGACACAATAACTGCCTGCTGTTTCACTTGGGACCTTACTAAAGAGTTACTTCTTAAGACTTTTATAGAAAACATTTAAAAACTTTATTAAAAAATAAGACCTAAATAAATTAGAACATTTATGTTTAATGATTGGAAGACAATATCCTAAAAATGTTATTTCTCCCCAAATTGATCTGTGCATTGGGATGCAATTCTAAACAAAATCCAGACAGGATTTTTTTTTTAATATGTTTTATTGATTTCAGAGAGAGGTAGGGAGAGAGAAAGGGAGAGAGAGAAACATCAATGATGAAAGAGTCATCGATCGACTGCCTCTTTCATGCCCCCTACTGGGGATTGAGTCCAAAACACTGTCTCCCAGTTCATGGGTCAATACTCAACTACTGAGTCATGCCGGCCGGGCCAAACAGGATTTTTTAGGAACTGATAAGCTAATTCTGAGGGGACAAAGACATGCCCGACCGAGAGAGGAGAACAAAGAGACCATCTAGGCTGCACATCCACAGGGACCTGTGGAGTGATATGGTCAACATGGCAAAATAAGAGTTTTCTACCATCTTCTCCCCCAAAATATGAATTTCGACAATCACCCACAGACAAGAGGGCCTTTATTGAAGTACATGAGTCCAGTGGAGAATTTGTAGCACACTGCTGGAGCAACAACAACAACAAAACAACTTTGGACACATTAAAGACAGTAAGATAAGCAGTTTCACTTTACCTGTGTCACCCTCCCCCCAGGTGGCACAGCTTAAGATTTCTCCCATGGGAGAAAGTGAGAGCATGTGAGTAAGTTCCTGGCTACTCCAACTGTGCAGGCTGCTGTCAGAAAGACCTACAGCTTCATCTCACACTGAGGTGTGCTGCATGATTAGGCATCAGGAAGTGGCTGATATAATAGCGGCCAGGGTGCTCAGATGGCATCAAAGGAACATGTACCCTACTAATCACTCTACAGACTAGCAGGAAACCTGCCAATGACCTGCTGGGGACTGCTCATCTGCAGATCCCTCCAACTGGTCCATGAGCACCCCAACATTCTGCACATTTCATCTACGTATACTTCCACCCTGTGGCCACGTCCCATTGAACACCCCTGATAGTGGCAAGAGGGAGCCTTTGCACAAAGCTCGTGGGCATGTACAGAAAGCCAGCCTGACTTGGATTGGAAGAAAGCACACAAACTTTGAACATTCAGCATCACGCTCAGGAAGGGCAAGCAAACAGGAGGCTGGCAGCACTCAGCCTGGCTTTGCAGGATCAAGAGAAGACATATCTTTTTTAGAATTCCCCCATATGAGGGAACAAGAAGTGTGGAGCAGGTTTATCCCTAGAAAAGATCTCAGAGTGCCTCAGAATCTCTAGCAGGATTGACGGAAGGTATATCTGTGTGTCTCCAAAAGCCTGTCAGTAAAGACTAGAGGAGGTGACTGCTGCCTCAAATGAAAAGACAGCAATGCAAGGTTTCAAGGAACATGAAAAAATCAAGGAAACATGACGCCACCAAAGGAGTACAATAATTTTCCTGTAACCAACCCCTGAAAATGGAGATCTGAGATTTGCCTGATAAAGAATTCAAAGTAGTTGTTTGAAGGAAGCACAGTAGCTACAAAAAAACAAAAAAACATAGAAAGACAATTCAGTAGAATAAGGAAATGAGAAGTTTAACAAAGACAAATCATAAAAATAACCCAAAATTTTGTGGCTATAGAATACAATGAATTAAATGAAAAATACAGTAGAGAGCATCAACATCAGACTGGATCAAACAGAAAAAGAATCTGAATTAGAAGACAGGTCATGAAATTATCCAAAGAAGAACAAAGAAAAATGGGTAAAGAAAGCCTACATGAACTTTGGGATACCATAAAGAAAAACAATATACACATTATTGGAGTTGCCATAGAAGCAGAGTGAGAAGGATGGGGCAGAAGGCTTATTTAAATAAATAATGGCTGAGAACTTACAAAATCTAGGGAGAGATTTGGATATCCAAGATCATGAAGTTCATAGGTTCTCCCCAGAATTTCCACAAAAAATTTCTCTTCTCCAAGACACATTATAATAAAACTGTCTAATATCAAATAAAAGAGGGAAAAATTTCCTGACAGCATGACCCCCATAAGGCTATTGGTGGATTTCTCAGCAGAAGCCATCCAGGCCAGGAGAGAGGGATGATATATTGAAAGTGATAAAAGAAAAAAAAATTGCCAAGCAAGAAATACTTTACCTGGCAGAGTTCTCCTTTAGAAATGAAGGCAAAATACTTTCCTAAACAAAAACTGAAGGAGTTAAGCCTCACAACCCAGCCATGTTATTCCTAGGTATAGATCTTTACCTACTGTAGAAATGAAAACACGTCCACACAAATCTGTACACAAAGATTCATAGCGGTTTTATTCATAATAGCCAACCCTAGAAATACTCTGAATTGGAGTAGAATGAATAAACAACCTAACACTAAAGAAGAATTATGCAACAGCGTGGATGAGTCTTAAAATCATCATGCCAAGTGAAAGAAGTAGGACATAAAAAAGTACATACTGTTTGATTCAGTTATTTGAAATGCTAGAAAAGACAAATCTGTGGTAACAGCTGATACTGGTTGTCTGGGACCAGGGGTGGGATAAAAGCCTTGACTGCAAGCCCTAGGGAGCTTTGTGGGGATATTGGAAATGACTTTCAAGTGTGGTGATGATTGCACAACTGTATACATTTTCCCAAACTCATAAAACGTTATATGAAAATCGGGAGAATTTTACTATGTATAAATTATACTTCATAAAACTGTTAAGCTTAAAAATACTTGTGGCCTGGCCAGACGTGGCTCAGCAGTTGAGCATCAACCTAGGATCCAGGAGATCGTGGTTTGATTCCTGGTCAGGGCACATGCCCGGTTGCGGACTCGATCCCCAGTCGGGGGCTTGCAGGAGGCAGCCAATCAAGTGACTCTCTCTCATCATTGATATTTCTGTCTCTTCCTCTCCCTTCCTCTCTCTGAAATCAATAAAGATATATTTTTTTTTAAAACTGTGAAGGCCCTGACCAGTGTGGTTCAGTTGGTTGGAGCATTGTACCACACACCAAAAGGTTGGGGGTTTGATTCCCAGTCAGTGCACACACCTAGGTTGCAGGTTTGATCCCCGGTCAGGGCATGTGTGGGAGGCAACCAATTAGTGTTTCTTTCGCACATCAATGTTTCTCTCCCCCCCTCCCCCTTCCCCTCTCTCAAATCAATAAGCATGTCCTCGGGTGAGAATTTTATTTATATACACACACACATATCTGTATCTGCAGAGAAGGCATTAAAAATGCAAAAGGCTTATTTGCCATGTTGTCTAACACTTGCAATTGTGAAGCCATAATCCGAGGAAAATCACCTCAGATTGTGACTGTTATTTTGGGTTAAGGTCATTAAAGAAGTAATCAAATTAAAACCAGGTCATTAGGGTGGGTCCTAATCCAGTATGAACTTACAATAAGAGGAAATTTGGACACAGACATGTACAGAGGGAAGAGTATATGAAGACACAGGGAGAAGACACCATCAGCAAGCCAAGGAGAGAGGCTTGTAACAGATCCTTCCCTCCCAGCCCTCAGAAGGAGCCAGCCCTATTAACACCTTGAACTTCCAGCCTTCAGAACAATGAGACAATACACTGTCAGTCTGTCATACAAATGCAAATAATGTAAAACATCTTAGAACTTGACTGAGCAAATGAGCCATATATGGCAGGATATGATTTAAAAACAAGTGAAAGGTAAAAGTAAAAGACGTAGGTATTTAGGAGATACATTCCTTGTGAAGTCTTCAGAAAACAGGTAAGTCTTCAGAAAACAGATGGGATTTGAGTTAGGCATGTGTGAGGTTGGGGGACAAGAGCACAGGATATTCGGGACAGAAGGTGGGACAGTATTCATTTAACAATGACTTATTCTCCTACCATGAGCCAGGCACTGTGCTTGGGTCCAGGAATCTAATGAACAAAGAGGATGCATTCCCTGCCACCAGGATACACACAGTCTGACGGCATGGGAGGAGAAATGAATAGGACTGTTTAGTACACCAGCACACATGAGCGTCGCTGACAAAGACTCAAGTTCTGTCTCTCTTGAGCATGTTATATTTGTAGTATGTGATAAAGCATTTAATTTTGCTCTGTGATTATTTCATAAAAGTGATTTGTCATCATTAAACATTTCCAATTAGCTGATTTCCTTCTGCTTTCTGATGATTGCACTGGAAGCTAGATTCAAAGCTTCTTGAAAGCAGCAGCGGTATTGCCTGTCCTTTTTTTTCTCTCTCATCTTCGCAGGTACCATGTAGTACCAAGCCAGAGTTGGTGACCCTGCATCTTGTCTTCCTGGGCCACTCCTACCATCGACTGCATCTCTGTTACATCCAGCACTCTGTGAGCAAGGCCATGCTTGTGAGCCTGCCTCATCTGGCACTCTGTCTGACAGTGACTTCTCTTGTTGCTCATACAGGTAGTGACAACACCAGAATATTTGAGGAAGAGGTTTGGTGGCTACCGGATCCACTTCCTCCTTGCTGTTCTGTACTTGTTCCTCTGTTTCTTCCATAAGATCTCAGTAAGTTGTGTAAAAGCCAGCCCAAGAAAAAAAACAAACAAAAATCAGTAGACAGGACTGTGCTATATTTGTCCCAGCAGTTCACTCTGGGGCCCCATTAGTTACTTATTGACCTCTGCTCTTAAAGCTAAAGCAGAGAAAGAATAGCTTAATAATAGTTTGCCAAAAATAAAAGGCAGAGGCATCTTCTTTGCCTCCCAAGCCTAGGTTACAGGTCCCTCTGTATTCCCAGAGAACCTTGGGCCTACCTGTGTTATATCATTAGGTACTGTCACTCCCATGCTTAAAACAATCCAGGAGTTTCCACCACCCTTACAAGAAAACCTAAACCCCTTGTTCTGACTGGTAAGGACTGTCTTGTTGTAGTGCCCGCCTCTCTGGACTTTTCCCCTCTCCTGTGGTCACTGTGCTGTAGCCACACTGCCTGCCTTATTGTTTCTCAAATCCATAAAGCTTATTCCCACTTTAAGCCCTTGACCCCTGCTCTGTAAGGTGTCCAGAATGTTCTTTCCCCATGTTTTTCAACTATCTCCTTGGAAAGGCCTTCCATGGATATGGTCGTCAGTCTCCTCCATTACTCTGTTTTTATTTTCTTTGTAATACTCATCCCAATATGAGAGGAATTTATTTATTTCCTTGCTTATTATCTGTCTTCTCTACTTCAGTACAAACTTCTTAAGGCCCAGGGCCTTGGCTGGCTTGTTCACCATGTTACCCCCCGTGCCGAGAACACGTTTATTTCATAAGGCACTCAATAAATGTTTTTTAAACAATCAAATGAGTGCCACTTATCACATTACATGGAAATTGCCTATTTAGTGGTCCGCTTCCATCATTAAGTGTAAGCTACTTGAAGACAGTGACTGACTTTTGGTAACTCTGTGTCTTCAGAACCCTGCTAAATATCTGCTACATGGTTGGTGCTCAGTAAACATTTGGTAAATAAAGGGATAGAAGAATGTTAGGAGAATCCCTGCCCATTGTGTCCCCGGCTTTGGGGACCAGAATAACAAAGCAAGAAGTTGGCTGGTTAAATAATGTGCAGATGCATCAGGATCACTGTCCTCCAAGACAGAGATCAGCAAATCCAGCCCACAGGCTACTCCTTGTAGTAGTCAGCTTTGTATAGTCCTTGAGCTAAGAATGGTTTTCTAGTGCTAAGGGGTGGTCAAAAACAGAGATGGCATATGGCCTGCAAAGGCCTACAGTATTTACCATCTCGTCCTATACAGGAAAGTTGGCCAACTCCCGATGAGCTCGTCCCTTTGCCCTTCCCAGTGCAGAACTGCAGGAATAGCTCACTCTCAGCACACTGCCCACTTAGGCTCCAGGGAGGAAGAGGCTAAGTGTATTAATTGGGTTAACCCAAGCCCTAAAGGTGCTCACCTTGACTAAACTTGTGTGCACAAGCCTTGTTGCCCAGCAGAACTTGGGGAACTGTCAGCCAGTGTCCACTAGTGATGTAGTGCATGTGCAAACTGCAGATGGCTTCTAAGGTCAGTGTCTTTACGGGACTGCTATCAACTGAGCTGAGAGTGAAAGTGCAGCCTGTTGCCTTGTATCATTTCAGGTGGAGATCTGCACTGGTGCCATGTTCATGAAGATGATTTGGGGGTTGGATGTTTACCTGGCCACCGCAGTCTTGCTGACAATCACTGGCATTTATATGATCACAGGTGAGGTTACTCTAAGCACACAGGTATTTATATTAACACAAAAGCACTACCTCTTAGTGGAGTCCTGCAGACATTGAGGCAGGGGTCTTCAGCTTTTGCATTTTCCTAAGTCTGCAGAGCACATTACTGAGGCCTAGAGGGTGGGGAGAACTGTGAAAATAATCGAGGCAGGAGTGCCAAAGTGGAGTCCTACCCATAAAAATCAGATTGGGCTGGTGGGGGCTTTCTGACTGGCGGGGTCAGCAGGGGTCGTGCTTTAGGTGGAGATGGGCCTGATACAGCAAGCTGCCAGGTGAAAGAATGGCACCACAGAAAGGGAAGGAGGGGCGGGGTGGCCACTTCAGGCCATCCTGCTCACCTTATCAGGTGAGGCCATCAGACAGGATTTTTTACTTAGGCAGTTCTGTCCTAGACAGTCTCTGCATGGGCTTCGAGAGTGAGCACGTGTTTTCAAGCCACAGTGCAAACCTGGGATGCTGCAAAGTATCCCTGGCAGTTCACCACTGTCGAGTGGAGAGAATCAGGGTTGGGAATGGGATACACTCAATCAGTGGTTCTCAGTGTGGGGGGAGTGGGGATTGGGCTTTTCTTCTCAGGGAACATTTGATAATGTATAGAGACATGTTTGGTTGTCACAACTGGAGAGTGCTACTGTGATCTAGCAGACAGAGGCCAGGGATGTGCTAACTGTTCCTTCCAAACTGAGATTTTAAAAAAACTAACAGGTTATTTTTCCCTTAGGAAAACTACCAGGTTTTAGTTCATCCAAAAAATGGGAAATAAAGGGATGTTGAGACATAGAAGGGCAAGATAAGAATCCAGCAAAAGATCATAAAGGATATTTAAGAGAGAGAGCAGGGTATACCAAGACCAAGCATAAGTAGTTGTAAGACCCACTAAATTAAAGGCACAAAAGGTATAAATATGGAGATCTGGGGGAAACGGGTATGTAGAGTAGGATGCCAGAGCTGCTTTCAACAGACAGAGTCAAATGTGGCTTTTGTTCCTCTTTCTCTTGCCTTTTCAGGTGGTTTTATAGCTGTGGTTTATACTAATGCATTACATGCTGTCTTTACTCTTCTGGGATCACTCGTGCTAACGGGCTACGGTAAGGAAATCTTGAGAAGATTGAGTACCATGAGTAGAATCTTTGAATATTGTTGCTGCCTGGGATCATTTCAGCACTTTCATCTCATAGATGAGATTGGGGTCCTCAGAACCCAAGAGCATTATCTAAGGTCGTGCTGCAAATTGGGGGCTGGGGGAATTCTGCTCACTTGAGAAGAAAGGAGTCAAGGAATAAGAGTGGCTGGAACAGCAGTGAAGAGTGGTCCACCACTCTCATCCCCACCTCTGTACCTCTGTCCATGCTCTTCCTCTCCAGTTAGGAGTCCCTCTCCTTTTCATCCACTCAATCAAACCCATCTGTCAATGTCAGTGGAAGATTCTCCCCAAAGGTCTGATTCAATTATTATTCCAAATCACATCTTTCTTCTCTGGACTTGCATCAGTAGCACACAACTTAACATTTTTTTATACATACCTTGATTGTTCATTGACTGTGTCACATGAATAAATCATACTCCCCAAGTTCAAAACTTCTTAAGAACCAGAACCATTGAGGTTATTCATTCATTAAAAAAAAAAAAAAAGTAAAGAGAAATTGGGACATAGGAGGGCAAGATAAGAATCCCACAAATTATTAAGTAATAAGAATGAAAATAATAGCTGATATGAATTGAGTATCAGGTACCATGTAGGCATTTATATTGCCTCTGTAATCATCACAATCACCATGAGGCATAACTATTTTTGTTATCCCATTTTACAGATGAGGAAACTAAGTCTGAGTTAAGCAACTTGCTCGCAAAACACACCAAGAGCAAAACTCATAGCTGAGTCTCTCTAACACGAAAGCCCAATAAGTGAATGTATATATTACAGTATCTGTAGTGGCAAGTACACTTACCTTAAAATGGAAGTTTTCTTCCACTAGCTAGGGTAGGAGTATGACTTGAGTAAAATTGTTGTTACCCACTCTTCCATGGGTGGATCAGTCTTGCAGAAACCTAGAAGGAAAAGTTCTTGGCCCAAGTACCGAAAAAATATTGAAGTGATATGTGAGTACAATTTTAGGATTATGATTCCATAGATCATGTTGTTGTACCCCATGGAATGAGAACAGATAGAATCAAACAGAATCACACAGTCCTCAGTCTTACCATTCTGTAAGCATTAGTGTGCCATGAAGTATGCTCAATATGGTGTTGCTGGGAAACAAAATACATGTCAGGCATGATCCAAGAAATTTTTAATGCTTTGAGAAGCAGTGACTAATTTGAGTGATAAAACTATAAGCTAAAATACACTAAGCCTTTGTGTTTAATTGTGTGCTAGAATTAAACATCAGCATTTTTTAAACCTGCCAGTGCCACCCCAATAGTTGAAAATGATATCCAGTTAAACCTTAGGAGCTGGTGGGATATTCCATTTAATGTTAGCAATTATATTTCTAAATAATTATATATTTTTTACTGTTAGAGACAATGTCTATGTTCCTCCAAAACTTGTATGTTGAAATCCTAACCCCCAATGTGATGGGAGGCTCTGCCCTCATGAATAGTATTAGTGTCCTTATAAAAGAAACCCCAGAGAGCTCCTTCTCTCCTTCCACCGTGTGAGGACACAGCAAGAAGATGGCTATTTATGAACCAGGAAGCTAAAACAAAAGGGTGCACAGTGAAATACTCAATGCCCTCAGTTTCTCAATTCAACTCCTCAGACAACAGTATTACAAGTCTTGTGTATATCCTTCCAGAGATATTCCTCATATATACAAATATTTTTTAATCATTGAGATATATGTTTTAATATAATCAAAATTTTGTTGCCTGGCTAGCGTGACTCAGTTGGTTGAACATTGTCCTGTGCACCAAAAGGTCACCAGTTCAATTCCCTGTCAGGGCACATGCCCAGGTTGCAGATTCAGTCCCCTGTCGGGGTGTGTACAACTTAAATCAATCAATGTTTCTCTCTCTCACTGATGTTTCTCTCTCCCTCTCTCTTCCTCTCCCCTCCTCTCTTTCTAAAAAAAAAAAAAAAAAAAAAAAAAAAAAATTTTTAAAAAATTTTTTTTTTTTTTTTTTTTTTTTTTTTTTTTTTTTTTTTTTTTTTTATTT